TTCTCTACATAAGTGCTTAAGTGCACACATGCTTATATACTTAAAATCAAGTGTTTATAAATTAGCCATCTCTGATATGGGGAAACAGATGCTACTTATACTTCATTTCTTCCCATAGACTTTACTAACATGGGTGGCCTTACTGGAAATTTGTGCTTCTGTTGCATTGCTCTGTGATTCATTGAAACTACTAAGCTTTTTTATCATGTCAAGATGATAACTAGTGAGAGAGTTATTACTTTTATGATGGTGTTGGTAGAATGTATCCTATATGGCATACCTATTGGTACTTAGCATTATATTGGGTCCAGGATCAAGGCATAACTACATAACAAACTATTATTATGTTTTTGTGCTGTTCATATATGTATCCATGTTGAAGAATTTCCTGACTACAAGACAAGTATTTAGTACAGTAATACCTCGACTTACGCGAAGCCGGAGTTACACGATTTTCAAATCTCGTCGATTCGTCTTTTGTTTGAGTGCCACGCAGCTCTTGATTACTCTCCCCGCACACTATTGTTCAGCTTACATGTTCGGACGTGTCGCGTGGAATCGACACATAGCTACAATTTATTTTGTATTATTTATTTCTGTGTTTGTTATATCTACGGATACTTGAGAGACTCTATGTGGTGATTTCTTGTAACCATGAACAAATCAAAAGATGAGATAAGATTGACGAGAACATTTATTAGCTTACATACATCCGACTTAGATTTTACAGAAATTGCGAAATTATACCCTGACTTACACGGTTATTGCTTGGTCCTACCTATCGCATAAGTTCTGGGTATTACTGTATGTCAGTTTTTGTTTGTGATGGGTATGTGCTGTTATGAAGCCATAATGTTTCTAGACTTATGTGTAGTGTATGTGTTTTGATTCTTGTGCAAGAAAGGACTACTGGCACAATAAGCATTTTATCCATTCTCCACAAGAGCTTTATTTCATGGGAAAGTTCTGCATATTTACTAATTTTTCTGTGTATATTTTGTATGTTTTGAGTATTTGGTACATCTATGTCTATGATATGTGATATTGCTCTGTTTGTCAATGTATGTGATGGATTATTTTGTCTTTGATTATGGACGTTATCATATTATATTTTGTATCTGTTTTCTATAATTGTCCGTGGTGTGTATTTAAATATACAACCTCACTATAAACTGGAACTGTAGAGTTATGAATCACACCTAAATTCAAACTTTTCAGCAAAATGAGTCCAAAATTTTAAAGATTGAACATTTTTGGCCACTAAATTTATCGGCCTTCCTCAGGAAATACAAATTGAAAAACTGTTTTATAAATAGAACGTAGCTGCCTTGTAAATTTCTAAAAGAACGAAAATGGCTGTGACATATTGTGTATGACGTATATTATGAGTCTATATAGTGTTTCCATGCAGATGATACATAAATGACATCAGTGTTTATGTAGGTTCCATCAGTGTGTATTTGTAATATTGTAAAGTACTATTTAATTTGTTGCTCTACAACGAATTTTTCTTAGAGAGCCGGGACCTAACGGGTACTTTACGCGGGTTCGCGTTTATTAGTTGCCAGGCCTGGACTTTTAGCGTGCACCGAAATAAATTAAGGACAAAGTTAGTCACAAAAAAATCTCAATAATAAAATGTTTAATCAAGTCTAACAAATACTATGTACAAGTTTTATAAACAAACAACAAATTTATTAAATAAAAAATCAAATCACAATCAACCCGACAAACTTAAGTCTTATTCTAACTTAGAACTATTCCCCTTGGAATTCCGACAAAACAAAATTCAACTCTTAACTTAGATACAAACTCTCTTATAACTATCAATCTTAACCGTCACCTCAATTAATACTCGGAACCTTTTCTTCTACTCAAGACTTTCCTATTTTCAAATCATCAAAATCGAACCTTCAATCTCCTACTAGGATTTCCTATTCGACACCTTGTTCACTGCTACCAGCAGACCAACGCTTTCGGTTCAGGAGCTCACCTCGTCTGTCTTCACTTGAGCTACTGTACTTATAGTCTGAGGTGACGTCACAGTTCTAATTGAGACACTCCCCTCATTTACATATCTACACGTAACATTCTTGTTTTCTCTTCGTTATCTGGTAGCTTATTTCTCGACAATACTTTGTTAACCTTTTACAGCATTTCTTTAACAATTATCGGGATGTTTAGTTGAAGGTTACACAAGTTGAATTTACTGGTTATAGCAGTATATTCGTTTGTGAATGGTTGTCTCTTTAATTCTTTGGGTAGACTATCTTACAGCATCAGGTTAATGAATTCTTTTATTATATTTTTACATATGCATTTCGAACTAGTTTCACATTTCCAGTTCCTCTTCAGTGTTCTATAAATTACAATTATAGAAATTAAGTTGACAAAATATATACAGATTAAAAAAACTAACAAAGTATTTAGGTATTTAGGATTAAAAAAACTAACAAAGTATTTAGGTAAAATCCTTAAAGGTATTGGTAATGTGTTTATGTTGTGTTACCAAGTAACACAACATAAACACATTACCAATACCTTTAAGGATTTTACACATTTCTTTTTTTTTTTACTTTAAAGATTTTGGTGTGTGTTCTTCCCTCAAAAAGCACCTGAAGTAGTTTATGTCATGCTGTAACATCTCCACTTTCTTAGTAAGAACTCCCGATCTGTTTTTCTTATCCATTGTATTCCAATAATATGTTGAATTTTCTGGTTATAGCTGTATACAAGTTCCTAGAAAGTCTATTGTATACTGTATACTGGTTATAGCTGTTACACAAGTTCCTAGAAAGTCTATTGGGATGTCCCTCTCTTCAGTGCGGACTTACAATTCTGCCGCTCGGGCGTGCACGTGAGTGTGAATGCTAGCTATGGCACTGTCGTTTCGTCGTCGGTGAGTTGGTTAATCTCTTATCTTCTCGTTTTGAACGTTCTGGGGTGATGGGTGAGGAAACCTTCGTCCTAACTAAACATAAGCCCCAAACAAAAATATAATAAAAGCAAAATACTGTAAAAGTAAAATAAAAATAAAGCTCGGACTTGGTTCCTTACAATATGGCTGCTTGGTGTGTAATAGTTTGTATTTGTGTGCAACATTTTGAATATTCACATTTGCTATTTGATTGTTTTGATGTAAGTAGTCTGTTTTAAAAGCCTGCACCCAGATATATGTTGTATAGTTTTGTGCATGACATGGCATTTCCTACAAGTATCTTTTAAAATGTATGTTCTGGAATTTTTTTGTATTTATGACCTGGTCTTGAATGACAATTGTGAACCCTTCCATATCTCCAGAGAGACATTCATGAATCAGCCAGCAGTTTGATGTGGTTCTATCAATGTGATTCTGATTGAGATCATTAGGGTACTTATCATGAAGCTTCTTCAAAGTCCAAGTCTATTATTATTATTTATTTGGATGAGGATTCTTTGAAGAAAGAGCACTGTTATAAATTTTTTTTCTGTCTGTTTATTATTTAATAGTCATTAGCAATTGCCACTTTTAATCTGCTATTAAACATCAATATCAAATTAAAAATTAAAGTTTTTACATATTAAGTTACTCAGAGTAAACAAGGTTGCAATAATAAATTCTTTCAAATCTGTGAAGACTTTTGATAATAATAACCAAGTTTACTTCACATTTACTATATAACAATGATCTAAATCATTTATAATTATTAGTTAAAGAAAATCTCTTGTGTTTATTCTGTGATAGAGAGACTATTTGGTTTTTTATAATGTTTTAACTGATTAGATATGCTTAGATATTGTGGTAAATTAATTTAAAAGTATTTGACAATTAAAAGGAAGCTTTCTGTCGTGCAGTAAAAGGAATATTTGTGCAGGAATTCTTAGATTTTTATTAAAATTATGCACAGAACACATGAGGAGTGTTCAAAAAGTATTGATAATTAATTTTTCCCACAGAAACAAATAAAGATCAGGACATGTCTTGCTGTTTGGGAGGTATAGGGAACCTTCATGGACATACATGAATTTTTTCCTTCTGACAGAAAGTGTTAGAAGGAAAGTGCTGGCAGTCAGTATATTATTGAGTGCTTGTAGTGAGTGCCTGTTGCATTTTTATTTGCCATGAAATGGTTGAAATGACTTAAGCAGTGCTATTTTATCAAATTTTGCCAGAAGCTTGGTGAAACCAAAGTTGAAATCATTTGGAAGACTTTGTAGTAGGAACTTGGCAGCTCCATCATGATAATACACCTGCCCATTCTTCGAATCTGATTCAGACTTTCTTGGCCAAATGTATCATTCCTCTACATTGTCAGGCTTCTTACTTTACCAATCTGGCTTGTGATTTTTGGCTGTTCCCCAAGCTAAAGATACTGCTGAAAGGAACATGACTTGAGTCGTGAGAAGACATTATTCAGAATGCAATGACATTCCCAAAGAGGCCTTCCTGACATTGCACTTTTCCCAGCAATTCCTCCAACAATGGAGGAATTGCTGGGAAAAGTGCATGCACACCCAAAGAGATTCTACTTTGAAAGAGATTAGGATTTCTGATCTCTATTGATCATTTTTTCCCAGTCAAATGATTGATACTTTTTGAACACTCCTTGTATAATACATTTTTATGTCAGCTGGCTAGTATAAATTTCTAAAATGTAACTGATAATGCATAGAAATATATTCTGTTATGTTGTTAAAATTTTAAAATTTATCATGTTTAAGTTATGTTGCAGCAACTTAGAATGTTTCAGAGCACACTGCTTGGGATTTACTAATATAACTTAGTTATATTCTAATATTTGTTATACAGTTATTAAATGATACATTAGCATAGCATGTAGCGTTGTAATAAGTATATGCTTTGATTATACACTGTAATTTAAAATCTTTTTAATTATAAAATGCATATTTTATTACTTTATATAAAGTTTAATACTTTATTATTTGAAATATATTTTTAATCTGAATTATTTTTGAATTGTACTTTATAGTGTATTAAGTTGTTATTTTTTATGAAATAGGTTGACCCTGCAGGTACAGGTTGTGTTAGTGCTATGGAAGCTGCTGCATTTTTGAAAAGATCTGGTTTATCTGATGCTATTTTGAGCAAGGTTAAAGTTTAAAATTTTGTACTATTAACCTTAATAGATTTTTTTTTACAAACTTAAAAATTTTTTTGTTTTTTTACTTATGCAATGTTAAAAATTCATCAAAGAAATGTGAATACGATTTATAAATTATAATATAAATATTATCTATATTATTGATAAATATTTATGTATGAAAATTTAACTACCCAGTATTTATAACACTACACAAAATGTGTGTAGTTTTATAAATATACTACTATTTTTAATATTTTAAAATTAATATATATAAATTTTAAAATATTGTAAAGAATGAATGAATGAATACAATAAAATTGATCAAGTGAAGTGTATAAATATTTTAAATTAGTTTTTTGTCAATGAAAAAATATCAAGACTGAATGTGTTTAACAAATTGAATGACTTTTGTTATATTCAAAATTTTTATTTATTTGTTTATTCTTTTGAAATTTACTAATCAGTGACTATTATTATAATTCGTTATTTTATATTAATAGTTTTTTTTTTTAATATTAAGATGTAGAAATTAAATAAAAAATTTAAATAACAAACATACTCTTAATGTAAATTCTCTAGTTCTTGAGTCTAAAGATTTAAACAGTGAGAAAAAATATAAACAAGAATTGTTACATTACAAGATTTTAATGTAATGAATTCTTAACAAATTTAACCTCACTTCTAAAATGTAATTACAAAATTATATTCTTTGTTCAAATTGAATTCTAGTAAATTAGATTTTCTTATTGATTACATTGCTTTTAAGCAAAGTTAAGAAGAAAATTGTTTGTACTTCTGTTATAAAAAATGCTATTATTTTGTACTGAATGGTCTTTGCAAACATGTTTTAGTTGAAATAATGTGGATACTTTGCAATTTGTTATTATTTTTTAATGTATTTAATATGATTAATAAGATAATGCTTAATTAAAATTTAATTTACTTAATTAAATTATTTTAAATTTCATAAAATGCATTTAGAAAATATTTACATATAAATTTATTATTTACATGTAAGAAATATAAATTCTTACTTATAAATATAAATATATGTATTATATATANTGTGTTCATAAATAACTGTATTATATACGAATAAATAAAATGCTGTGATAATTTAAATCAGCATAAATTTTGAGCTTTTGTTTTTAGGCTTCAAGCAGATGGCGTTATATTGAATTAGTGTTAAGCGAGACAAGTGGTAAACTATGATATATCATTGTATTTAATAACAGTTATTTATTATTGGAAGAAACTCTGACATCTTTATAACTTTAAAGTTAACTGATTGATCTAGTGAGAAACAGCTTTTTGAGATACATTTTTGTTTAAAGAGAGTTGAACATAAAACTGAAAGGTACTCAAGGTAGCTTATCTAAAAATTTGTTTGCATTTGTAAATATCCAAAAGCTGTTCATCACTGACTCAATCAATTATTGTAAGATGTAAAGCATTTTTTTCTACTGTATGTTTTAATTTACTTTTATTTCAGATTTGGGATTTATCTGATCCTAATGGAAACGGCTTTTTGGATAAAAGAGGATTTTTTGTTGCTCTTAAACTTATTGCTCTTGCACAAAGTGGAAAAGATATAATAATGGCAAATATATCTGTTCAGATAGCAGCACCTCAGATGGTAAAACTTTTATATATAAATTTAAACGTGAATGAAAAAAACTGATGAAATTAATAATTATAAGGAAATAAACTCTTAAATCAATAGATTTGTTTAAAAAATAAATGTTTTTGATTATCTTAAACAGTCACCTTTAAATTGTTTCCATCTTGAAGTTGACTAATTTATATATACCAATAAATAGTTTTATATACATACATATTTAATATATGTATAATGTACAGTACATACAGTAAGACCCTGCTTAATGTGGGAGATGCATTTCTAGGTGACAAAGTGCTAAACGAAACAACGTTAAATAAGGCCATTTTAACATAGAGTAAATAGGGATAGGGGAACATACAACTGAAAATAAAAAAATTTTACTTAATTTTAAATTATTTTTATATTAATTTGTATAATGATATATGTTAAATAACACATAAACATATGCACACAGAAATGTATAATAATATATTAATTAGTTCATTTTTTCTATATTAATAGTTCATTTTTTGTGACAAAGATCCCGACTTTTCTGAAATTCTTGTTTTTTTTTATTTTTTGCAATAAAGTTGTGAAGTTTCATTTATCGCTTTTTTCTTTCCTTAAGCAAATGTCGGTAGCAGAAGATCGCATTCAAAGCGCCTCATTTTTCTTTTGCACTTCTTTCAAAATCTGGATCATTTGCTACAATTTGATCAATGATTTTGGTTATCGTTACCAAACTTTTACTAAGGAAATCTGTAGAGAAATTTTTTGGGTTCTTCATTTTCAGAATCACTATTTTCCAGTTCTACATGGATTCCTTGTTCTGCCAGTTCTCAAAGGTCATCATTGATAAGACTCTCACCAGAAACCTGTGGTAACTCCTCAATATCATGTTCGCCTACATCTCCTAGTCCTGCTATATTGATTAGGTTGAGTTTGATCAACCTAATGATACAGCAATAAGCTCTTCTTGTTGAGAATTCTTGGATTCCTTCAGCCATAATTTCTTACACATTTTGTTTGTGCATTTATCAGTTAATTCTTGCCAAGCGAAGCCAATATTGCCTATGGCATCCATAATGTTATATTTTTTCCAAAATTGCACCAAACAAACATAGATTTAAAGAAAGTACATCTTTTTGCCACCTTTTTCTGATTGGTTTGTGTTCATAAATAACTGTATTATATACGAATAAATAAAATGCTGTGATAATTTAAATCAGCATAAATTTTGAGCTTTTGTTTTTAGGCTTCAAGCAGATGGCGTTATATTGAATTAGTGTTAAGCGAGACAGTGTTAAGCGGGGTCTTACTGTACATAGAAATATGTTTAAAGTATATTTAATTATATGGTTAACAAACATTACAGTTGAATTTAACTCAATTTAAAAGTATAATATTTTAAATTTAAAATATCAAATGTTATAGGTACAGACAGTTAACAGAAAGTATTGTCCCAATCAAACTACAATAGAATCTTGTTTTAACGGATTGTGAAAAAACAGTTTTCTTGGAATAATGGATCTTTTTCCCCCAGGTTATGCCAAATCAATGTAATTTTACCTCCTTTTAGCAGATCCATAACAGATTAAATCCTAGCCTTTGAATAAATCTTGGGAAATAAATGTGCTATTAAAAATAAATTCCAGGTTTGAAAAGCATGGGAAACATGTTGAAGCATTGCACTCTATAGGATGATGTAGTTCAAAGTTGCAGATAAGGAATTTAACTAAAGTTGCACCTCTTGAAATTATCTAGAGTCTATTCAACAACTTGTGAACTTTTATTTATACAATTGTAATATATGCATTAAATAATGATAATAATTATTTGAATAAAATGCTGTGTTAAACTAATTATAATACAGTGGAGCACTGTTTGTCTCTCTCTCAAGGACCAAAACAGTGTATAACCTGAAAGATGTGTAATATAATGAAAATTTAGTGAAGAAGCACCAAAACATGGTAGAAATAGTTGTTTTTATAACAGTATTTTTTGTTTTTATTAAAAAAAAAGTAATATTTTTTATTGCACATATTGTTCTGAAGCTGCTGTGGCAATGGTCAAATAGATATAAATAATGTATCTAATGGACAGTAATAAATTTCAAAGTGATTTTTGTCTATTCAAAACTGAAATGTCATCTTGATATACTGTCCTATACTTTGCTGTCACAGGATAACTTGCTGCAACCATGTAAACTTCCTCTATGTTGTAATTGATTCACATCCATCATATAGCAAATAATCTACAACTAATTTCATTCTATGAGAGACAATACAGATTATAAAGTTAATTTTATATATTTAATTTTAGAAATATGAAGAGAGGGATTTGAGAATAGAATAAACAAAAATGTGCTTTTGAAATTTTGATTGTTTTATAGAAGAATAGTGTGATATTTATTATTTTTTTCAGAAAGGAAATAATGTTTCAATGAAACTCCATAATGAAATGGTCCTATAAATGAAATATTTTACCATTGAAAGTAATAGGAATGTTTTGTGACTAATATACAATAATATATAAATGTAAATGTATAAACTGTACTCCACTGTATTTCTATTTATCTTCTGTATAGGAATGTAATTTTCTTATGTTAAATGATATATTTTTTTTTAATATCCAAAACTAATAATAATAAGATTCTATTTTAAAAAATTTTAATTTTTTAGGGAGACTTATCCAGAAGGGCATCAGCTATTATTGATTGGTCTATTAAGGTTTGTCAACATACGTTTTGTAAATTTAAAAAGATAAAAGTTATTATTGAAAATTTTTATTTCATACAAAATGTTTATAAATTTATACAGCCAACTGAACAAAAAAAATATGAAGAAATGTTCAATTCATTGGGCCCTGTAGGAGACCGATTGCCAGGAACTAAAGTTAAACCTGTGAGTTTTAATTAATTAATTAGTTTTTTAGATTTATTTTTGAACTTTTTGTTGCATTTAATTTCTGAATACTTTTTTGCATTAATGTTATATTTTTCATTATATATAATAAATTAATTAAATTACATGTATTTGGATGAGATTAACATAAAATGAGTTAATTAAAATAAAAAGCAAACATTTTCTGTGGTCTTAAAACACTATCTTCTGGTTATTCAGTCTTTATACAGTAGAACAATACTTGTGTTGGAATATTTTTAATTTCAAACTGTAGAACATCATCTGCAATGGAATTTTAAAACTTTGGATGTTCTGATTAGTCTGAGATATTCAAGATTGGAAAAATTACACTGCAGTGCAAGACCAGACACATCACTAATGCAATGGACCAATCAATACATTCAAAGTTCAATACAGGGTGATTCACACATACCAAAGAATAAGTTTATACAAATTAATTTTTATTGAGGTAATCCTGTGTGCATGGATTATTAAATAATCGTCTTGTGCTTTGCAAGACATTATACATGGTAAAGAGACAGAAGGTTAAAAACCTTCTGTAAAGATAGACTATTTTCAGCATCTTTTGTACAAATTAATTTTAATTTAGATCAGTGTTTCCCAACCTTTCTGGATTAGTGACACTCTGAATTTAATAAGATTCCTGCAACACACCATACTTTTTAAAATAAAAATGTTTAAAATTTAAAATAAATTACAGTTGATTTAAAAAATTCTGATAATACAAAAGCTAAAGTTATCAAAACAAACTCATAATTTAAAAATATACTATAAAAATAAAAAGCCTATTTGAATCAATGTATATGGAGCTAATATCAGTCTTTAAGCTGGTAAGCCACAACATTTACAGAAGCTCCAAAGAGTTTTTGCAGGCATGCTCATAGATGCATGTAGCTTTTGTGAGGGAGATATGTTGATACCACAAACTGCAATAATCAGCATTTTATTGAATACTTGTAGGATGGGCTGGCCAGGGAGATCTGCAGACTTGATCCTAATAGGCAGTTCTTTGCACTACCTGGGTAGACAAGTTTCAATTCATCAATCTTTATCCCTAATCCTTAATAATTTAAGTTAAGAATTGCCTTCTCTCTTTAGTTGGCTAATGGTAAAAAGATAAATGAAATTTTAAAAAACTTACTCAAAATTCTAAAGAATATTTAATATTTTTGCAACATGCCTGAGACACTTTTGCAACTTACTTGTGAGAGTGCCTTAGGTATGTTGTGGCACATGGGTTGGGAAACACTGATTTAGATAAATTTTTTTTTGTTAAAATTTTTATTACTGACACTGTTTGTAAATTATTTGTTTTGTATATTACTTTTCTTAAATTTATAGAATACAGTATAAGGGTTTATTTTCATGTGTATACATATATACCTATATATATAATATAATATTTTTTGTATGGAAAAAGGCAAAAAAATTGTTTAAAAATAGCATTTTGTTTTTAATGATGATGCTGCTGTTTATAAATTTTCACAATAAAATAGGCAAGCATATTTAAAAAAACATATTCTTATTTATTTTAAAAACCTTTTAAAACTTTTTAGTTTATTTTTATATAATCTTACATATAGTATCAATTTAGCTATAGAAATCTATTTTAAAAAATTATCTCAACTAAAATTTAGTTGTTTTGTATCATGAAATAAACCATTACATTGGCAGAATTTAAGTTTCATAACAATATCTTACATAATGACAGGTTTTTGCTGTGAATTGTGTAAGAAATAGTTGGATTTACATATAACCTTATAAATATAATTTTATTTTTTAGGTCATGTTGAATTCTAAACTTCCATTAGAAACTCTTGGAAAAGTAAGTATTAGAAAACAATTGGTATTTTATTTGTTTCATAATTTATGTGATGTTTAATATAAGAATTATGAATTAAATTTAATACTAACTTATATAATTATTTGTGTAATAGATTTATTTATATGTTTATGTTTTTCCATTATATTAATAGCAACAATAATCAAAAACACAAAAATCATTTAAAATTCAGAATAAAAATTAGAATGTTTATCATATTAATAACAATAATATTTATTTTATTACAAGTTAGTATATTGGTCTGTCAAAGATGATGGATAAATTAGAATAATCTTAGATGAGTAAGATAGCCTTGATAAATGCAGAACACTTCACACAGAAAAAAGAATTCTGAAAGATTCAGATGTAGAGAAGCATTGAATCTATGGATGGATCAAAGTATACAAATATTTATCTTTCCAACAGGCCAAACACAAAGAACATGCACAAATAAAACAAAGACTAAACAAAAGAATACACAGCAGATTAAATTCAGTACTGACAACACAGCTGAATGAAAAAAAAAACATTTTAAAGCTATCAACACATATGTAGTCCCTTATTCATTTGACACACACAGAACTAGAACAGCTCAAAAAGAAAATGCAAAGAACATTAACAAAATATAACAAACACCATCCTAAGTCCTCTGTAGAAAGGCAAAGTCCTTCTCATAAGAGGGAGGATTTGACCTTGCAGATATAGTAAATCTTCATTGCAAACAAATACAAACTCTGTGAGAGTTCTTCAACAGAAAACAAGAAACATCACAATTACACAAAGATGTAATTCTTACAGACACAAGCATTACACCAGTAAACTTACACAACACTGTCAAAGAAAATGGCATGCAAAAAATATAATATGACCATGTCATAATCGCAGTCAAAAGAATCCATCACAGCATACAGCATATTCATTTACAAACAAAACAAAAGCAACATACATCATAGACATAACTGTACCAATACCCACAACATACAAAATACATACACTGAAAAAATTAGTAAACACTCAGAAATTGTCCATGAAATAAAGTGTCTGTGGAGAATGGATGACATACTTCTACAATCCTTTCTTGTTCAGGTATCATATTGTGTCATACCATGTACATTACACAAAAGTGTAAAAACATATGACTTTACAATAGAGTATACATCAGACTAGAAGGCTGTTATAATAAACACATCACATAGGAAAGTTTTAAACACAGATACATACATGAACAGCACATAAATATAATAATAGTTTGTTTTATATTTATGCCTTGACTTTAGTCTTGCATAGAACTAGGGTACTAATTCATAAACAAAGTAAGATACACTCCACCAAGATCATAACAATAATAATTTCATGAAAATTGAATAAACATTTTTTAAAATTTTTTTATATGTTACATGAATAATAGTTTGAAATTTAGTAAGATAATGGAAGTAAAATTATATTAAATAAAAAAAAAACTATAATGTTATTAAATATACCAAATTATATGGTATTTACAAAAATTTAAGTTATCGTACAATAACTACTTATTAAGGAAATTGTAAAATTCATTAACATAGAAACATTTTCAGCCTTTATAATACTATCATCAAGTATCAAATAACAAAATACATATGAATTATAGAAAGGAATAATTGAACAGAATTTTAAATTAACAAATTATCATACAGAATTTTACAGCATATTTACAATTAATGTATTAAAATATATATACATAACTTCTCAAACAAACATATTTATTATTTTTCTGTAGAAACTAAAAGTAATAATTTCAACAACAGCAGTTAGTATAAAACTCAAATATTACAAATTTCAAATTTAGTATTCATAAGAATGAAATTGATTACTATTACAATTATTCAAAATCTCAAACAAACATTTCTGTTTGAAATTTTGAATAATTGTAATTTTGGATTAGGGAAAAGAATCTAGCAGAAGAAAAATTTTTAATCAGCACCATATCAGTAATTTACAATTCTACTGCTTTACACTGACCAGTAGAAGTGAAGTCTAGCTTACTGTATTAGTTTGACAATGGTCTTTTATACACTGTAATTTGCATATTGAATATGCTTAAAAAATGTTTTCTACCTAATGCCTAATCCATTCATTATGCAAAGATCAGTATGAAATTATGCAAATTATACTAATTGGTAAGTATTGAGATAGCAGTTGAGGTTTAATATCACTCAACTCCCAAAACAAAATGGAAAAATAATCTAACTAAATGTAACTATAAATAAAAATTTCTCTTGCTACCTTATACTAGCACATTTTTCCACGCGTTCAGGAATAATGGAAATTAATTACAAAACATTCTGATTCTATTGGTATGTTTTTAGGAAAATATGTATTATTTGATATCTTCTGAACATTTTGCAGACCATCTGAAATTCCAGTTTGGTAAACATTTGAGTTAAAATATTAGACATTTAATAGATATATTAAAATAATTATTAAAATTTAAGTATAATATGAAATGTTGATAATTAAAACAAAATTTGTACATATTCTTTTTATTTAGATTTGGGATCTTAGTGACATTGATCAAGATGGTTTCCTTGATAAAGATGAATTTATTCTGGTATGTTACTTTTATATTTTGTAATTAAATACATATAATAACTATTTTTATTTGTTATTAAGTTTTTTTATCTTTAGAGATATAAAAATTAATAAAAAGGAAATGAGTCCTTTTAAAGCTATATATATAAATTATCAATAAACAGCTTTATTCAGGAAGAAATTTGGAATATATTTTCGTTTATCTTTTGAAATGCCTTGCAATTTCGTGTTATGCTGTCTAGTATATATATTATTGTTTGAATGATCTGCTATTAAGAATTATGCTGTACTAAAATTTGTCTCAGAAAAAACTATATGCCAAATCCAAAACAAACTGCTGTCAAGTGTGTATAGTTAGTTGATAGATCTTGGCCGCACCGAAAGGCATAGCCAGCGAAGGAGAGGAAGGAAGGAGGTAAGGGGAATTGAAGAAAGAGGGGGGAAGACGGGGAAGAGAAAGAGGAAGGATGTAGATTACAAGTGCGCCATTGCTGGGCGTCAATTGCTGAGCGTAAAGGCGATAGAAGTAAAGGGGCCCGTGCATAGGAAAGCACATAATTGGTGAATGAGTGTACAAGAGATTGTGCGACAAATATATACAGAAGATAACGAACCACACAGCGTGGTTTTACACAGCTGAACGGCGAAGGGAAGGGAGGCCTGTAGGGCCCCCTACCAGCGACAAAATATCACAGCTAAGATAGTCCGTATTGGTAGAGTCCACTTAATGGTGAGTCGATCTGCTGGAGATGAGCCTTGTCACAAAGTTTGCAAAGGCTTTGTAATAGAGATTATTACTGATGAGGAGGCTCGGGTTACAAGGCCAAGTGTCGTTGTTTTTTAGAATGGTGGATATGAGTTCCATCCTTTTTTCCTCCGTGCCCTCGCAATGGTAGAGGAGATGTTCTGGGGTCTCATCCTCCAGTGGGCAGCTGCTGCATTTCCCGTCACCCTTCTTTAAAAATCTTGCAAGGTAGTAGTTGAAGTTTCCATGCCCGGTCATGAATTGTGTCATGTAGAAGTTAGGGTTGAAGTGTGTAGGGTTCGGCCTGTCCACCCTGGGAATGAGCTTGTACGTCCACCTACCCGTGACAGAAGTATCCCACTCACTTTGCCATTTGCTGTTAACGTAAAGCATTAGGGCGCTGGAAACCCATGACACAGGGATAGAGGAGAAGGAAATGTCCTTAAGCCTCGAAGGGGCTACCTTAGCAAGCAGGTCTGCCCGCTCATTTCCAGGACAACCAGAGTGGCCCTTCACCCAATAGAAGTTAATATCCTTTGAACATTTACGGTGATGCACAATGTAAGGAAAAACCTATTTATTTTTTAACCAAGAGCGTTTTGCAAAAGACAGGATTAAGATGAATCTACTATCTTTGTTTCTTAATAACCTGCAATCTAAATATAGAAACAAAACATGAACTTATCCCCATTTGTTCGAAAATCCAAAAAATGGCGTCACTGAAGTTAAATTTCTATAATTTTTTAATAAAGGCATTATTGGAAAAATATTACCGAAAATTCTTTTTTATCTTAGTTTTGCTTAAAGAATTTATCATATAAGTTTGAAACAGGAATTTTGTAATGACCTGTATACCTTAACGTATTACATNAAAATCGGCCCGCGGGCCTAGACGAGGACCCAATGGAGCTACTACACCAAGGGATCAGAGCCGTTGCCGAGTACAAAACTAGTGTGCCGGCCACCGTATTAGGGTCCAGTGGAGTAGGGAACAATAGGCTTTGTTTTAGTTCCCGACGAAACACGTGGTAGCGAAAGAACAAAAGGCTTTGTTTTGTTCCCGGTGAAAAACGGTATTGCCAAAGAAATCACACCCGACGATATAATTTGTTCAGAACAGGAATAAATATACCGTTGTGCACAGCAGAATGTCCGCTATCCAGCGGTATATAACACAAACTATTTGGCAAAGTAACAGACCAGCGCGAGCGACCGATAGAGATCACGTGGTCTAGCACAAAAACACCCGTAACTTGGTTAATTATTACTCGATTTTAACGGAATATACATTAAAATGACCCACTTGACATCAATAAACCGAAAATGTACAAAAATAATCCACAATCAATAGGTAGGACGCAGATGATGTATCCGGAACAGGAGCCGAATGCGTACACGACCTCCGTCTTCGATGACCTAGTGGCGATATTGTCAAGTGTGTATAGAATAAAACTGTTTGTAAAAGACACTTCCAAATAACAGACACCTTTAATTAATGAGCATTTTAACATTTTTAACATGAATAAAGGACATCTATTCTTATTACATAGTATGTAATGATTTACAAAATTGAGAAACATTAAACACCTCAAAATAAGGATAAACTTGTCACTCCCAGTTGATGTTTATCATTAAGAGGTTATGCTATGTCATAAAACTTTTATCGGGATGAAATTAAAAAGCAATCGATGGTTTATGAGTTTAAATTACATTTAATAGCTAAAGTAATATATTTTTTAACCTTTTTTTAGAGTATAAAAATGTCTGTTTAACGAAGATTTTTTAGAAATTATAAACATATTCTATTATGTTTAGGTTATTTATATAAATTTCACTAGTTTTATTGAAATTAACACAAATTAAAGTTCAATTAGCAATTCTTGTTAGTGGTAATCAATGGTAAAAATTGGACTTGTAGATCATAATGACATCTACTTGAGTAATCTCAACCACTTCACCAATGACAACACAATCTATAACACCACCTCAGTCACTGTTGCATTCCATACATCTATAGGCAGTGATCACTTTTTTGGTTTTGATGTATGTCATATGTCTATTGTAAAAAATGCTGTAGAAACTTTTATTCTAATCTCTCTGATGCATTCACTGTTGTTACATGTTTATCTCAAATAATTTTCTCTCAAAACCTCTATCTCAAATTATGGACTGAAATGCCAGTTACAAATTCAAAGCTTAGCAACTACATTTTGATAGCATAAATTGTAGTTGAGAATTTCTTGTAATATGGTACATACTGTAGTTGCAATTAATGCCGCTTTTTTCTGATTGGCTATGAGTTTGGCTTGCATTGGTTGAAGAAAGTCAGACATCAGGAACTGTTGACAAACTATTTCTGTTAAGATATGTCAAAAATGTTTTATATCTAAAACAGGTATATACAGTACTGTATTTGCTATTGTATTAATAAAATATCAAATCTATTACTGTTTACTATGTGGGAACCTCTATATCTCAAAACCTTTAGCTTAAATTTTTTTATTCCTGTGAGATTTGGGATAGACAAGTTCAACTGTTTCAATGATAAAAAAAATTGACACTTTGGATGGTCAACCTGAAAAAAATTAGACTGAGAAGGAGCTGATAATCTACTATATAAAGCTGAAAAACTGGGTTCTGTCACAGTATGCCAAAAACGGCCACTAGGGACACCCCTAGCTATTATTTAAATAAACAATAAATTCAGTATTACAGTAGAGCGTCAATTATCCGAAACGTCAATTATCCAAAAGAATTCCAGTTAGCAAATTTAAATTTTTGCTAGTGTTGTGGTGCTGCAATCTTTGGCTATATCTTGGGTTACTCAAATATTTTACATTTTTGATACTAAATTAACTTCTGAAGTATAATTTTTTATTGTCTTTATATTTTTCAATATATTTATTTTGTTTGTACAAAATAAAAAAATAATTTTTAACGATACAATAGTCTTCGTTAGGCTTAACATCTATGAAAATTTAACGCGAAGCGACATGCAACAGAGAAAAATTTCAACATCGGATACGTTAAACTATTTTTTCGTACATAATCGGTTATCCGAAATATCAGTTATCCGAACAACCCCAGTCCCCAATTGATTCGGATAATCGACGCTCTACTGTATTATTATTTAATGTGGTTTTTGCTTTTTTGGCTGCATTTTAGTAGGGTATGCCATGAGAAATTCAGTATATTATTATTTTTATTTGTAATAGGAATTTATTATTTATACCACAGAATGACACCACTGCTGCTAGAATGCTCATTAGGGGGCATCCCAGGCTACTAGAATAGGATTAGAAGTATGAAATAATCTAATAATCTTAATCTTTGTTGTTGTTTTTTGCCCGGGCAATGCCGGGCTCCTCTGCTGGTAATTTAATACAAGTTAAATATTTTTCTTCAGTTATTTCTGTATAACTAAATTTATTAAATTCATATATTCAAACTCAGTTTATAGTTAATAAGTTTTATTTATTTTTAAATTTATATATTATAATATATTCTACAGTATTATAGCATTATTTTTGTCATCAGTTAAAATACACTTTAGTGTGTTTGTCATCAATTTAAAATTAATATGAACTTGTTATCATTAACTTAGCTAGTGAGACACATTCATTTCAGTATAATGAAATATTTCAGAATTGTTTTATTTTTTTTATAAAAAACCTACATAATTGATTAACTGATTCATATATAGTGTTTGAGTTTCTACTTTCTATTAGAAGAGAGTTCCTTATTTATCTTATGTTTTCTTCTTATTTTTTTAGTACAGTTGAATTTTTTTTACTTGTATTTGTCTAGTATTATTTTTTGCTCAAAATGATGAATCAAATGTAAAAAATATGTTGTTATTCCAATCAAAATCTGAACTCTAAAATATTTAGCTATTATTTATTTCAGTTTACTCTGATTTCTTCAGCAATTTCAAATCATTCAACTGGAAATAGTAATAATTTTTTCACCTAATAATTAACGTGCTATTAATAATTAAATGCTTAATTGGATTCCATTTAGAAAGTAATTACTTTCCATAGATAAGTATGTTAGAATGTGTTGTTAAAATATTAAATTGATAGAATTAGTTTTATTAATTATAATTATTGATAATATTGTAATATGACTAGTATTTTTATTGCAACTGATTATACTTTTCAGAATTTTATAATTATTTATTTTCTTTAAGTAAAACTTTTAAAATAAATTTCTGATAATTGCATTATTTTTAAAAATATAATTCTAAGAAAATAATCTATTAATAATGTGGCTATTACCTGATAGATATATCAAAAATATAATATTGCTGATATTTATTTTAATATATATCTTAAAAATTAATATTTAATGATGATAATATTTACATATATTTTAACTTCTAACATATTACATTACTTTTTTTAAATAGGCTATGCATTTAGTATATAAAGCCTTGGAAAATGTGCCTGTTCCTTCTATATTACCTCCTGAATTATATCCTACTGCAAAACGAAAGAAATCATTAGTAGGAGGAGTTCCAGTTTTACCTGATCTCTTACCAGGAGTGGATGGGACCATTACTGGAACAAATAGGCGATCTAGTACTCCAGGTGTTGATGTAGCTATTAAAAATGTAAGTTTACATTAAATATGACTAATTAGTATCCTGTAATATGAGAGTTATATTCAAAATTTGATATTATTTGCATTTTTTTAGATTCCCATTGATATTTTACAAAGATTCATGATGATATAAATTTTATTTGAAAAATTAATATTTTCGCGTGAAAATTAAAATAATACAAAATTAACAGAATATTGTTGATTTAAGAATAACAATGAAATTTTCTTAATATTACAGATTCGGTTATTTTATTTGAAAAATTAATATTATTTTCGCGTGAAAATTGAAGAAATATAACATTGAAACTAATAATATTATGCTTGTTAACTTAAACAAGCGTCAGAGTAATGGAGTCATACCAATTTTGACATATTTTAATTAACAATATTTATAAAATCATAAATATTAAATCATCTTTATCCTTAATAACAGTAGCATTTGAATAAATAAAAAAAAAATAAAAAACTTTTAAAAATGAAAAAAGAGCAGGAAAGTAAATTATGATGAAATTTCAAAAATTATTTTGTCCTTTTCGTCCACTATTGTTTAAAATAAATCGTACTATAATAAAACGTAGGATGTGTGTCTAGATAGAAAGAACAATTTTATACGTTCTGCTTCATTTTTATGAAATTAAACATTTTATAATACGTTACAAATATCATTTAAAACTAAAATATTTACTTTTCTAAATTCTATCATTATTGCTAATATAATGCATTGAAACATTAATTACTGTACGAATATAGAATTTTTACTTTATCATTAGAATATACTAGAAACCAAACGTTTTGATAACGTCCCGTATATTAAATCAATTTAGTGACACGTAAACAGACGAAGGACAGTGCTAACAATAGAGTTAGAAAGAGTAAATAATCGTAAAGTAGCATTGAAACATTTTTATCAATAATAACTTTTATAAATGAATATCGTTTCCTTGTTGGGTTGCAATTTTAAAATTGGAGGACCTGTACATTACTACTGTCCGACTGTCGTTAATCTCGAGAACAGAGTTAGATGGATGGAAATCGAGACCAGATATGAAAAGCTTAGAGGCCGGAAGCCACTTTAAATTTATACAAACTTTTGGTCTGGACTGGAAGTCACCGGTAAATTTTTTAATTAAAAGATGATTAAACTTGCAGCCCAGTATTTTGACGATGTCACAATAAATAATTGCTCGGTTTTTTTTGTATAAAATATGCAGATTTTTATGTTTATGCTAAATAATTTGAATGCTTTTGTGCACGGAAAGAGACTTCATTATTAAGTTTTTTGTTAATAATTTTCAAGGCAAGTTGCACTAATTTCAGCTATCATAATTTAAATAACTACTAAATAAATCAAGTGTTTTTGTAACTGGAAAGAGACTATTATTAATTTTCAAGGTAAATGCAGCAATTTAAATTAATGAAATTTATAATATAANATATATAATTATTCTGTGTGATATTTTGACTCTACGTATTAAATTTGTTTGTAGTCAGAGCAGTGATTATAACTTAATTGCCCTTCTGTTGATCTAGAACTTGAAGTAGGAACATAAAATTTTCTATAGGAAGTAGCAACATAAAATTTTTGGTTATGCCTTCATATAAGAAAATTTAACTGAATATAGATCCCATTTAGTAAGATCTATTGCTACTTTTCTACACCTCAGACTATTTATAAAAATGCTAAAGAAGGAGCAAAAAAATAATTCTGTTAAAAAGAATGTATTATAAAAAAATATAATATATGAATAATATCAAAAATGATATATTTTTTTACATACACACACATATATACATACATAATTGTAATCCAGAAAGAACCAAACTGTAATTGGACATGCTATTATGAATTATTTGTGAACTGTTGTTGAAGTATTATTGAAATATTTGTGAGCACTGCAAAGCAAGCAATGTTTAAAGCACTGGTTAAGGTTGATAACAATGATTGATAAGGATTATGAATTATCAGCCATATGTTGACACTAATAGCATATAAATACAGCTTTAAAAAATGCTTATTTACTTGAATGAATGATGTTTTGAACCAAAACTCTGAAACTTTTGGTTAAAAACTGAAATACAATAAGCAAAGTTTCATATATTTTAACTTATGTATTTTGGGAACATGTTTAAAGTGATCAGATATCTTTTTTTAATCTGGACATGTTTTCTTTATTTTTGTCTTTATCCATTGTCATGACAGACTTTTTAAAAATCAGGAAATGTTCTCTGTTTTAGGTTTGCACACTTAGATTGAAATATTTTTTTATATATATTACCATCATGCAACATCCTTAATTACAAGGTGGCAACAATACTCTCTAACTAAACAATTAAAATAGCAGCAACAATTTTTTACAGAATTTAAAAATTGTCACATCTCCAGTAATAAATTGATGTTTTAAATAATTAAGATTTTGATAAAGGTGAAAAAAGTTTATAGAATCTCTTTTGTTATAAGATCAAAAATCAAGGTCACATATGTTATGAAACATGTAAAAGAATTGAAGTGGCAATGTGTTGGATATATGGCTGAGAGAACAGATGACAGGTTGACAGGAATTATAACAAAGTGGTACCCAGGAGATGGGAAGTATTTGAGAGGGAACAAGTCTAGAGCTAGTTGGATGCATTTTGAGTAACAACTAGTTTCCAATGCAGAAGAATTGATGAGGATGAAGATCAGTGGAAGAGCATGAGAGAGGTCTTGTTTAGCGGGTGGACTGAATGACTGATTACGACAATGACATTATTATTATTATTATCAATCATATTTATGAATATGGATTTAAATGTTTGATTGTTATAAGTGAATACAATGGCATTGTAAAAAGTATAATTTATTTACATGGTAAAGCAATTTATAAAAATGATGTAAGTGCTTTAATCAGTTTTCTAATCTCAAATAATTTATTAGTCAAAGAAATGTTGATTTTTAGTTTATTTTAGCTTGCTGTCAGAAACGAGTGCAATATTTAAAAAAATATTTTTTAAAAATAAATTTTTAAAAAATATTTTCAAAATTATTTTAAAATAATTTTAAATTATTCTGTTGAATGTCATTCAGAACTATTAAAAATTGAAGAATATATATTTTATATACCAGAACATAATATAAACATTGAAAGAATTTTTTTGCTAATAGTTTTCAAGCCAAACTCAAAAGGCTCCTTATAAAGGAAATGCTGTACTCCAAATGTTGCAACTTTACTTTTGCTCCAAAAAAAAGCTAGCTTGTCTTTTGCATTATTTATTATTTGATTCCATTTGTGTTGTAAATACAGGAAGTTAAACCATAGAGCAATTAAATCTGTTCAATCAAATAGATCTAAACTTAAGATTTTATACGATAGATGTTTGTAATTTATACCCCTCTATCCTTGCTTGAGGTAATACATTTCTCAGAAAGTTTATTAGAAGATAAAATAGTCATAGGAGATAGACAGACCATTGTTGATATGCTTCATTTAATTTGTCAAACAAATTATTTCCATTATAAAAATAAATTTTACTTTTAGCAGTCTGGTCTCCCAATGGGCTCACCCTACTCTTCAGATAATTCCCAGTTTTTACACAAACATTTTTCAAACTATCATTCAGTTTTTTGCTCAAGAAGACTCATCATTATTATTTCCATAGGATTTACTTTTTACCTGGAGAAAGCATGACTCCATTTTCTTTTTTGTTAATTGTTTCAGAGAATTGTTCATAATGTTCTTCAGAGCAAAAGAAGGAGAATAACAGAATTCTACAGATTTTACAGAAATAACATGGATGAGTCCTCTCAAGCAGAGACTGAATGATAGTTTGAAGAATATTTTTGAATTCACCCCTGTTAGATTTTTGTCAGAAATTGTTATGAGACAATTAGAATAACATATAGATCTTTAGCAATCCCATATTCCATTTTTTATAAATAGATTAGATACATGATTGATGATTTAACAGAATAGTAGTATTATGTAGATGTATTTTGTATTTTCTTCAATCATGTCAATAGTATTTTTCCTTGCATTCCTTTCTTGCTAGACATGCAGAATGTCAATGCAATTGCATTCATTGATTGTTAATTTCATTTCATAACAATAACTTATATTTTAGCATATATCACAAGTTCAGCTTACTCCCATTATTTCCAACTAGAGGATCATATTGGTTCAACAAATTTGTTAATGCTGCTTTCACTTCACATATGGAGGACCTACAAATATTCTTCCTTTGCAACATAGTTAAAATTAAAATTTCAAATAAATCAGAATTCTATGCAAGTTAGTGTGTTCTTAGACTCTAAATTTAATTATTTACATTGCATAATTAAATAGAAACTATTTTCACCTACCATGTTAATACCAGAAGAAAGGAATGTATGCTTTTCACTTGTCCCCATGGTTTTTGCAGATAGCATAACAAATTGTTGAAACTGTGCAAGAACATTTTTTTTGGACACCTGTAACATCCTCCTTACTGCACTATGCGGACTGTGTTGCAACAGTAGAGATAAATAGGATGATAGAGAAAAATCAGGCAAAAATATATAGCATACCATTAGTAAAGTAAAGAAGCAGTAATCTAGCATATGTGAGATCCAGGATTTTAAGGATATTAAAACCCATTTTTAAGAAATTTTTTATTTAACATCCATTGCAATCGTTAGAAAACATTGCACTAAACACGGATTGAATGACGTTCCTTATCAACAAACAAATGAGAATCTTAACAGTCAGTTGCAAAATGATAACATCCAATTGTGAAAGGAGAGGAAAGCGATGCTGTTACATTAACGAAGTCATCACTGAACTTGTACCTGCAAAAGCAACCTTCAGTTCTAAACAACTGCCAATCACCTGACCACTTTCCCAGGCTAAAGGCATAAAAGGACAAGACACTGACAGTTCCGGGCATTTGCCATAATGTTCCAATGAATTAATGTTTGGTCATAAGTGCTCTCGTAAAACTGGACATCTGCCCAAAAAAGGAAAATACGAAGACCCCGGAGAAGACACTCACCATTCTTTCAACGT